TTTAAATTATCTCATCTACCTTTTGCCTCTGGGCTTTTTCTTTTTCTTATGTATATCTTACTTTGACTCTTACTCCGTGGCTGGCTGTTTGGCTGGGTGGCTCCTAGCATCCTCTTCTCTTTGTTCTCTTGCTCTTTCTTCTTTCTTTTTCCAGATTTTTCCTTCTATTTGTTCTCTCTACCTACCAGTCCCGCCTATCCTATCCTTTCTCCTGCCTCACTATTGGCCATTCAGCTCCTTACTAGACCATCAGGTGTGTTAGGCAAAGTATCACAGCTTCACAGAGTTAAACAAATGCAACATAAAGGAATATAACACATCTTCGCATCATTAAATGTTACACAGTATAAACAAATGTAACACACCTTAAAATAATATTCTGCAACAACCACCAGCCAAAATGAAAACAAAGACCTAATTCATCAAAGTCCGTGATTCTGGGAAAGTCTCTAACTGTACTAACCTTGCTTTGTGGCTTCTGTAGTCCCACCTCTGGCTAACTGGTCTTGTTAACTGAAGTATGTCAACCCAGGACATGGCTTTTGTGTTCAAAGCTCACCCTGAGAAAGGCTTGGGGCTATACTAGATAGAACCCGAAACACCCAGTGTAGTTACTGACAGACTAACAAAGACTTTCTCTGAGCTTAAACCCATTTCTGAGCATGGATACCCCAGGACAGTGGAACTATGGAAAGAAAAGATTACAGTCTTCCTCACCTTCCTGAATGCTACCGTCAGCCACCCAGGAACTGCACATCAGCACCCAGGACTGGATGCTCCCCACCTTATCCATTTCTGAGCTTTTTTTTGCTCTGAAAAATCTCTGCAGGCTGCTCACCTTTCCATCCACGTTGCCCCCTTCTCACTGGGCCTACAATAGCGTTTGCCAAGTGGAAACTTGATCTCGCCCCCACTTGTCCGCTACCACTTCCTCCCAGAAGTCTGAAACCCTTTCAAAGGTTCCTTTGTTCTGGGAACTTCCAAAGGGGCCTACAAGGACCTCCAGGGTTTGCCCCCCCCCCCCCCCGCCCCCACCCGGCCCCCATAGGCTCTTCAGCCTCATTTTGATCCTCTCACCTCCCTGCCTCCACCCCCTCAGGCCTTTTTTCAGACTTGCCTCCATCCTGCCTGCTTCTACCACAATTCCTCGGCACACAAGCTCTCTTCGACCTAGAATTCTCTGCATCTACATCTCCTTCCAGTTAGCTCCAGTCAGGTTTGGTTCCTGCCGGTTCCCCAGGAAAGCCTTCCGGGATACACTGAAGGCTTCTTATTGGAGGAGGCTTTGATGTTCAAACTAAGATCATCAAGCATTGGAGGAGGAACAGGTGGCTCTGAACTGGGGTCCCTGAAGAACCGGGTAGGAACCTCTGACAAATGAAAGATGCTTCTGACCCACTGGACAAGGCTGGAGGCTATTCTGGGGCAATAATGAGCCTCCTAGGCTGACTGCTTGACTCTGTGCCAGCTCCATACCCAGTGTCTAGAGGCCAGGCATGCCCAGAGCAGGCAGGTCTTTCACATGTACTCTGAATGCTGCCTTTGTTTTGGAGTTCAGGCTACTGAGGGTACCAAAAGATTAAGTGATTTATCATTGCTATCAGAGGCATGTGAAACTCAATTCCTCTGTACAGAAGTGGTCGGCCCCTCCCCCACTGATAGGCTGCCAGAAGGCGGATTGTACTCCACCGCATTCTACTTCCTTAAAATCCAAGAGACACAACCTTAGTTTGGGTGAGGAACAATAGTTACCAATTGGCTAAACAAGCAACCTTTGGCTACAAATTTGCTAATTTTTCAGCCAAAAGCTGGCTTTTACCATAACACAGTTTCTGATTTAAACCATCAAGTTACTGAGAGCAAAAGGGACTGCTCTTGAAAGGGCTTTTCGATATCTTGGCCATGTAGTGGAGCAGGCCTTTAATGCCAGCACTCCTGAGGTGGAGGCAGAGGCAGAGGCAGGTGGATCTCTGAGTTCAAATCCAACCTGGCCTTTAGAAGCAGAGTCAGTTCCAGCACAGCCAGGGCCAAACAAAGAAACCCTGTATCGAAAAACTGAAGGGAAAAGAAAAAAGAAAAAAAATAAATAAAAGGAAATCGCTTTACCCTCTGAGCAAGTGCTTTTAATTTTTGTATGCAATATGAAATTCCTCATTTCCTAAATCCTCTCAAACAATAACATACTGTCCTGATCTTAAAACCAGTATGATGCATTTTGCTTTTCAGAGCTATTGGACCGGTTAATCTTGTTTCATTCCAAAGCCCACAGGGAAGGTTGCTAGGGCGGGTACTTTACTCCAGGTGCAGCCACTTACTAGGTATGCGACCACAGGAAGACTGCGCACCCTCTCCATACTTCAGTTTCTTCCTATGTACAGTAAAGCACCGATGTGATGGGGCTACAATATGAGGACTGAGTGAATTCCTAAACAAAAACACTAGTGTCTACCATGCTCAGTGAACTCTAACTATTCCCATCACTGGAACCGGTGCTGCACCCTTGGGAGCTTGCCAGGTTCGGTATCACAATCAAGTTTAGCTTCCTATCTGGAGAGGTTCCCCATTTCATTGTTAAGAATATTCCCCGTGCACAACAGGTCTGTTCTTCCCATTACTCACTCCACACACACCCGGTGCACTCTTGTACCTTCTGCCCCACCCAAGCTTTGTTGACTATTCCCTTTGTAGTCTTCTCCCCGCTCATAATTTCACGTTCCTTTCTTGTCTGTTCGATGAGAAACAGCCCCGCAGACTAGCAATCACACCACCATCTTCCCGCCCCAGCAGACTCCTAGAGCATGCTGTTCGTAGTTACTAAGAGCTTTGAATTTGGTCGAGATCTGGGTTTAGGTACCATGGAAATTAATAACTTAGATGTTCCTTAACTTTATGAGTTATTCTTTCCTGGCCACTGGCCATGCCACTGGAAACCACAGGGCAAACCACAGTTTTAAGATGCACTGAGAAACACCAGGATATAGTAGCTAGAGCTGTCAGAGGCACAAGAACTTCTTGGGGAAGGTACGCATGAACGTTGTCAGTGAACAGATTCTGATTCATACAGAAAACAGCCTCTGTTTTTTAGTGGAGTTAAGATAGAAGCAGGTAGTTTTCTAAAAAGTATATGAACATTTGAAAAACAGAAATCCCACCTGCACAGAGCCATCACCACATCCTCTTACCTGGAAAGCAGGTAACATGGGAGCATATTACTTATCTCTATGTAGCAAGAATTTCAAATATTGACTGACATCAGTTTCTAGAATGCTTTTATTTTTTTCTGGGGTAGGGAGGGTGTGGATTCTTCAACAGAAGCCCCAAAGGCTAGCATTTGATAACCTTTTACCTCACCAACTGCAGAGGGCAAGTCAGAGGGCGGGCCAGGGTCTCCTTCCCAGCAGATTTCCTGGCAGTGTTGGGTACAGAACAGCCTTGATGTTTCAAAACAACCACACCCATAACTATTTCTTAAGACTCTTCAAGATGCTGAAGGCTTGGAACAAGGGGGAAACACGCCAATCAGTCTCTTGAATCAGGCCTCTCAGAGCTGGACGGCTTCACATACCTTCCTGTCCAGCCCTGGCAATGGGCCTAGATTGTGATGACCCCTCTTTTCAAAAACACAAAGTTCAAGTAATCTCTTTGTCATCTTTGAAGGGAGACTAGAAAGTCATCACCAGAAGAGCGCACACGGCAGCTCCCTCAGAAACAAAGCGCTCCTCTCAGAGCCCACGGAGAGGCAGCAGCAGAGCTTTCTAATACTGCTTCCAGGCACTAGAAAGGCCATCAGGTGGTGCTTACGTCCTCTCAATCATGGGATGGGTCACCATTAACTTAATACTTAGGAATCAAAACTAACAAATATTTGGGTAGTTCTAGGGCTTTTCTCAGATACATAAAAACAGCTATAGCCGGGCGGTGGTGGCGCACGCCTTTAATCCCAGCACTCGGGAGGCAGAGCCAGGCGGATCTCTGTGAGTTCGAGGCCAGCCTGGGCTACCAAGTGAGTTCCAGGAGAGGCGCAAAGCTACACAGAGAAACCCTGTCTCGAAAAACCAAAAAAAAAAAAAAAAAAAAAAAAAAAAAAACAAAACAAAAAAACAGCTATAAATTTGTGTGAAAATAGGGAGACAGAGGCAGGCAAATCTCTGTGATTTAAGAGGCCAGCCTGGTCTACAAAGCAAGTTCCAAGACAGCCAGAGCTGTTACACAGAGAAACTCTGTCTCAGGGGGAAAAAAAAAAAGAGGAAGAAAAGAAAAAGTCAGGGTGGTGGCGATGACGCACGCCTTTAATCCCTGCACTTGGGAGGCAGAGACAGGCGGATCTCCATGTTCAAGACCAGCCTGGTCTACAGATAGAGTTCCAGGGCAGCCAGGACGATGTAGAGAGACCCTGTCTTAAAAAAAAAAAAAAAAAAAAGACATACCTTGTTTATATTTTCCAACTAGTTAAGTTATGAAAACTCACATCCTGAAGTAGGGACTGTGGCTGTCAATTCAAGGGAGGAAAGTGGAGTGCATCAGTTCGGGTGGGAATTAAGCTAACAGCGCAACAAGCCATTTCAAAGGGAGCATGGAGCAAGTCACGAAAAGAAGTCAGCTAGGATGGAGGTATCTCTGGAGCATCTGCTTCCAGTGTTGACACAGAAACACAACTTAACCAGATCTCAGCTCCTCAGCAGCAAACTCTCCCCAGGACATCTGTTCCCATGTCCTTTTCCCTTCTCTGCGTCATGACTAAAGTCAGGAGACTAAAACATCACACACACACACACACACACACACACACACACACACACCCACACCCGCCCGCCCCACCCTGCTGGCTGCAGCCTGTGAGCAAGGTGAAGGTCACATACACCTCTGGTATGTGAGAAATACACTCTTTGCAGCCTGAGGAATCAGAACTACCTTCTTCTACCTTTTTTTTCTTTTTTTTTTTTTTAATGGCCTTTCCTTTAAAGTCCTCCAGCCAGTGGGGGGCAAGGCAGTGTTTTCACCTGGGCCAAAAGGTTGTGGAACTCCTCCACCGCCTGCGTGTGCGCCACCGGATTCAGCACCAGGTGCTGGAACAGATTGACAGGCTCAGCATTCCGAAATGTCTTAGGGATGGGTATGGTCAGGGGCAGGATGGTGTTACCAATGAGGAAGTGATGGAGAGACCTTTGCTGGAGGCCTCGGCCTAAGAACCAGAGGAGGTCCTGGAGCCGCTGCGAGAGCATGCTCTGCTGCCAGTCGGTCAGGGGCAGTCGGAGCAGCAAGTGCATGAGGGCTGTTTTGAAGTGGTAGGAGGTGAGGACGGGGCGGGACGCTCCCGGGGGTAACGTCTGGTGGTCCTGAAGACTCAAAACGATCTGCAGGCACTTGAGGTGGCAGGTGTTCTCGGGGGCAAAGCGCCCCACCAGCTTCAGAAACAAGTGTTCGCAAGCCGCAAAGGACTCCGGCCAGTCCACACTGGTGAGCTGTTCTTGCCCGGGGGCCTGACTCACCAGGTAGACCAAGGTATCCTCCCGTTGCACCCCAAGAACCAAACTGATCAACAGAATGCGGCCCGAGCGGTAATCCAACCTGAGCTTGCAGGTGGTGGTAGACGGTGGGAGAGTGAGCTTAAAGTCATACTTGTGGGCCACGAGGGCCCAGGCGTTGCTCACCATGTTCCGGAACCACTGCACAGTCTTACACACGTCCAGGTGCGAGCCGGTGCACAGAGCTGCCTTGATGGAGCTCGTGCACTTGTTCGAGATGGCGGAGTGGCCCCTGTGATGGTGCACCAGACACAGCACATCCCCCAGGGCCTTCTCGTGCTGGCAGATGACTTCGGAGTCCACCTTCACAGAGCCGCAGCGCCGGCCCAGCGCCGGATCTCTCATCTCCAAGACAAACATCGTGCCCTGTGGAGGGACAATGGGCACCAGGACATCGAACTTCTGGGTCTCATGGAGGGTCCCCCACTTCTCAAAGGCAGCTCCAATGCCCAAGCAGTCCTCCAACTGTGGGTGAGCCTCCCGGCGGCTGAGCACCCGGCAGGCCTCAATGAGATCATCCACAAAGCTCTCCACAAACTCACAGGTGCAGGACAGGTCACGGATGGCATTCTGGATATAATGTTTGTAAAAGGATTCCAGGGCTTCCTGGGAGGGGAAATCAGAGAGCCAGGTGTAAGAGGTGACGGGCACAACACGGATTTCTTCCTCTTCCTCCTCGCTGCTGGAGTCGAAGGCTGGTTCGTGCTGCATGTTCTGTCGCAGGAGCTCAAAGATGAGAAAAAGGCAAAAGAGGCCTGTGTTCCACATGTTTCCCAGCATCCAGCCCAGAGGGCCCCCATCTTGGTCACTGGCCTGGAACGGCCATCCCATGTCCTTCTTCCCCAGCACTAACTGATCACTGGACGTGTCTCCTCTCCAGAAGTTCTCTGCTTTCTGCTTCTGCTCAGCGGCTCGCCGTCTCTCTTCAAACTCTATTTCTAACTGCCGCATCTCCTCGCTCATTCGCTTCTCCAGCTGCCGACTCCTGGCCAGTGTGTCCAGGTCCATCCGGTCACTGACCATCAGGGGGTGGTGGACAACATACATCACTGCCAGGAACAGCAGGCTTATCACAGCCATGGAGGCCTCTGCATCTGGAGAAGTAGGAGGGTGGGGGTCAGTGGTGACTTGTCGGGCACATCTGTTCTCCAGCACATAGTCCCCAGAGCCCTGGTACCTCAAATCCTGGATGCCAACTACTCAAGAGGAACAGAAAGTGCAGAGAGCTGGGTTTGGACGGAGCCAGAGCGGGCTGCCGGAAGAGGTTTAGGGAAGGGAAGTGGAGACCTCGGCAGGGTGTACCCTGAGCCAGCTGCTTCCCTTCCACATACTGTGGGTGGCATTTAGGCTGCCAGAGGGTGGGCATGAGACTGTTTTTATTCCAGTATATTATGGGGAGGGGGACCCTTACAGTAGGGTGGCCTCACCCGACTCATCAGTCCACCTTGGGCACCAGATATGCCCTGCCAGTCCCAGAGGCTCCCTTCCACAGGCAGAAAATACAGAATCTGTCTGGGCAATATCTTCCCCATCCTTGGGTAGCCAGCCTCAGTCCCCAGCTGCAGCATCCCACTTCCTCTGTGACTTCACAACCCTACCCTGTGTCATTAGACCACTAAGCCTCACCACTGTGCCCTGTAGGAGCCAGACAGGCACGGGGCTGCCAACTCCCTGTGTACTGCAATGTGGTTCTGAGGCAGCTGCACTTCTCAGCCCAGGAAAGTGCAGAACTCAGAGGCCAAGCCCCAACTGACAGACAGTAGCAGAGATTCCCTGGCCCTCCCACCCCATCACTGAAGCCTGAAACTTCCGGCCTTCATTCCCATTAATTCACCAGCTACTGGGCTCCCGGAGTCACGAAGGGCAGTGCACCAGGGATATCGAGTTCAGGTGAGGGTCTCTCCTCCCTTTGGAGCTGAGCCCAACTGCTCTCTCCATGAGCCCTGTTCAAAATGACCAGAGCCGCGCGGGCTCTGCCTTAAAGTGGAGGCCCCTCTGCCATTAGTAACTTCCCCAAATTCCACGCCCAGACAGTGCAATCTCACCCATCTCTCCTGACCCAGTTAAAAACCCAGATTAAGGGTTTCTCTTGGAATTAGGGGCCACCTTACTCACGGTCTCTGTTAAGAGCAAGAGAGCATTCTTAAAGACACAGCGCGGCCTGGCCCCCCCTGCCTTCTTCCGGGCGTGCACGATGCTGCCAGCTCATAGCCGGCACCGACTACAAGCGTGGTCCCGACGCGCTCTTTCTGGGTACAGACCATGTCTCCGACAGTCCAAAGTCTGGGGACTGCTGGGACTACCACGCGGTGCTGGCCGCGGAGAACTCCAGCAAGCCACAGCGCTTCCCGCCTCAGGGGTTCCGCCCCGGGAGGCTCCACCCCTTGCTCAAAGCCACGGGGCGGGGCCCCGGGAAGAGGCTCAGCAGCGCTGAAGCCCTCCTTAAGGGCACGCACCTTTTGTCCCCAGTCCTTTGAAGGGACAGCAGAGCATCTGTGGCTACCCTCTCACAAGCTACTCCGCTTCGTGCGGTGGCACAAGGCTGAAGTGCCTGCTGCCACCCTCACCACGTTCCTTCCTGGACAATGTATCCTTAATGAGAACTTGGGTGGAAGGACGATGGAAACAGAACTAGGAACTGACTGGGAAAAGCCGTTCTCACTTCTCTCCGACTCTGTGCGAAGTGAAAAAGGAGGTGTGTTTAGGTACCCGTAATAAGCATCACTTGATGGGGAAGATGACCCAGTGAGTGGAGTGCCTGCTGCCCAAGCATGAAAATAGGAGTTTGGGTCCCTAGGCATACACCTCTAACCCCAAAGTTGAAAGGGCAGAGCTAGGCAGGTCCACTGAGTTTTAAGTGGCCAATGAGTATACGGTTTTATTAAGAGATCTTGTCTCTTGCCGGCCGGTGGCGGCTCATGCTTTTAATTCCCGTACTTGGGAGGCAGAGGCAGGTGGATCTCTGTGAGTTCAAGGCCAGTCTGGTCTACAGAGTGAGCTCCAGGACAGCCAGAGCTGTTACACAGAGAAACCCTGTCTCAAAAAACAAACAAACAAAAAAACAAAAACGAGAGAGAGAGAGAGAGAGAGAGAGAGAGAGAGAGAGAGAGAGAGAGAGAGAGAGAGAGACCCTGCCTCAAAAAAGTAGAAATCCGCCGGGCGGTGGTGGCGCACGCCTTTAATCCCAGCACTCGGGAGGCAGAGCCAGGCGGATCTCTGTGAGTTCGAGGCCAGCCTGGGCTACCAAGTGAGTTCCAGGAAAGGCGCAAAGCTACACAGAGAAACCCTGTCTCGAAAAACCAAAAAAAAAAAAAAAAAAGTAGAAATCCATAAAGACACTGATATGTACCTGTGTCCTCCACAGGTACACAGGAGGCAGGTGCACACATACCCATGCAACACCACACAAACATGCTCCTACCCAGGTGCATGCATACACCACTACAGACCTCACCTCCAGACCATGCCCAGAATCATGTATCTTTCTCCAATCATAGTGACTCTTAGGAAAGGAGGATCTGTCACTCAGAGTCCTTGGAGCCTTGTTTGCCACACTCACTAGTCACATAAAAGTAAGAAGCCTAAATCTAGCCAGGCAGTGGTGGTACATGCAGTAGCAGGCAGGTCTCTTGAGTTCAAGTCCAGCCTGGTCTACAGAAAGAGTTCCATTACAGCCAGGGATACACAGAGAAACCCTGTCTCAAAAAAAAAAAAAAAATAACAACAAAAAAAAATTTATAACCCTTCAGGCAGCTCTGTTGATCATACATCATATCAAAGAGAACTTCATAAAGTATGAAGGCTAGATAAGGCTTAGTACATGTTAATGCTAACAAGGGGTTGGAGAGATGACCCAGTGGTTGAGAGCACTGATTGCTCTTCCAAAGGACCCAGGTTCAATTCTCAGCACCCACATGGTGGCTCACAGCTGCCTGTAACTCGTGCATGTGATACATAGCCATAAGCAGGCAAAACACCAATACACAAAAAATAAATATGGAGAGATGGCTCAGCTGTAAAGCGTACTTGCTCTTCCAGAAGACACTTGTTTGGTTCCCAGCACCCACACGGTGGCTCATAACCATCCGTAACTCCAGGTCCAAGGAATCCAACAATCTGACACCCTCTTCTATCACTGGTACAGAATGTCTCTAGATACAGAATGCCCATCTACACAAGTGGGCAAAACACACATAAACAACTTTTAAAAGTAAATCAATTTCTTAAAAAAGGGAGATGCCAACAAGCTATAGAACTATTATCCCACTTAAAGATCACACTTGAATTGACAAAAAGCTCAGTATCAGAGAACATCTTTGGTTTTTGTTTGTTTGTTTGATTGATTGATTTTTCTTTTGGCTTTGTTCCCCAACTTGTTTTGTTTTGGGGACAGAGTATCACTATGTATCCCTGGCTGGCCTGAAACACAGAGATCCTATCTCTGCCCCCCACATGCTGGAATTAAAGGCGTGTGTTACCATGCCCAGCTCCAAGCTATATTTCTTTCTTTTCTTTTTAAAGATTTATTTATTTGTCATGCATACAGCGTTCTGCCTGTATGTCTGCCTACAGGCCAGAAGAGGGCACCAGATCCAGATCTCATTATGGATGGTTGTGAGCCACCATGTGGTTGCTGGGAATTGAACTCAGGACTTATGGGAGAGCAGCCAGTGTTCTTAATCACTGAGCCATCTCTTCAGCCCTCCAAGCTGTATTTCTATATTATTTGTTTTTATTTATTTGTTTGTTTGTTTATTTTAGAGACAGGGTTTCTCTGTGTTGCCCTGGCTGTCCTGGAACTCGCTCTGTAGACCAGCCTGGTCTCAAGTTCACAGATCTGCTGGTTTCTACCTCCTGAGTGCTATGATTAGAGGCATGTGCCACCACTGCTCAGCTCTATTTTTATTTCTTATGTGTATGAGTATTTTGCCTTTATGTATGTATGTGCACCATGTATGATGCCTGGCACCCAAGAACGTCAGAAGATCCTCTGGAACTGGTTCTGGGAACTAAACTCAGGTCCTCTGCAAGAGCAACAAATGCTCTTAACAGCTGAGCCATCTCCACAACCCCCCTCCAACCTGTATTTTGTTAACTTAGGAGTAGGAAAAATAGGAAACCCTCCAAAGTTCATGCTGATTGGTGATTTTATACAAATGACAAGTGAAAGTAAGTGACTCATTAACAAGCCAACTCCTGCATTGTAGGCATTTACTTTTGCTAAACAAAGAAATATGGTAGATTTTCTGTGAAATAAATTTAGCTGTACCCTTTAAAAACTTATATTGTAAACCAGACATCATGCACAGGAATATAACCCCAGAATTCTGGGAGATCAGAGGCAGGGGATAAGTTCAAGGCCAGTCTGGGCTACGTGAGAGAGACCCTGCAAAAGTTGGACAAGAGTTGAAAGCACAAAGGTCCTTGTGCTCAAAGATAAGCATTAGGGAAACCAGGAATGTTAAACACACAGGGCTGCCTCTTCAGTGGAAGAGATGTAGAACTGATTTCTGTCCAGAAGGCTGGGAATGGGGGTGGCTAATAATAGCCCAGGTGATCCTTGCTCCATCTGTATGGGCAGGAGCTCCCCCAAGCTCCCACAACCAGGACCAGAGGTGGCTAATAGTCAAGATGACTTTATGCTATCTGAATGACTGAGACCACATAAAATCACCCCCCGACACACACCGTAGGCCCTTAAGATAACACATACAGCCTATCTTTAGAACCCATCTTCATGGAAGAAGTGACATGTACTTTGAGAAGAGTTTCGATGTAATTATGCCTCCTTGTGCCCACAGGATTGTGTTATATCAAGAAAAAATTTCCCCCCAGATTGTACTGTACTTAAATATACTAAAATAAACTGCCTGATGTCAGACTCTAGACATTTGAACAAATTTCCTTCTGGTCTCATGAGGATCCTTATTTTGTTGGTGGTGGCATTTGCAAAGACTACTCCTCCCCCAACACACACACACACACACACACACACACACACACACACACACACACACACAGAGATTGGAAAGATGATATAGTTGGTAAAAATGCTTGTTGTGCAAGCATGATAACCTAAGTTCAAATCCCAGTACCTTCCTAAAAAGTCAGACATACAGGATGTCTGTAATCCTATTGCTCATTCAGGGAGATGGGAAATAGAGACAGAATCTTTGAATGCTCGGGGCCAGCTAGACTGGTGAACACAGCACAGAAATAACAAAGAGACCCTGTCTCAAAGCAAGGCAGAAGAGGAGGACACACTCCAGAGTGACCCCTGACCTCCACACCCTTGTAGTGCCCTGCACACACAAAATGCACAAGTACGCCACACCAGATGAAAGTTATGAAATAGCCAGGTATGGTGTGCACAAAGGAGGAGGAGGAGGAGGAGGAAGGAGAAGAGGAAGAAGGGGAAGAGGAAGGGGAGGAAGAAGAGGAAGGGGAAGAGGAAGAAGAAACTTATGAAATGATCATTATGAACAACCCAGGAAGTAGCTACCACCATAACTGCCTTGACTCCGCCATCCAAGACTTAAACTTGTTTAACACCTTTCACCTTTTGGTGAGAACAGTTGCTTAAAGACTCAACATTGAGAGAAGCATCAAGGAACAGTTGCTTTAAAGGCGATTTATTTCTAGTTTTCCTTGTTCTCCAGCACAAGATTATTGGTACACCTCAGTTGTTGCTTTTTTATCCACAAGACCAGACTTTATAATTAATTAAAAATTAGATGTTACGTATAGTCTGGAGGAATTAAAGAAAACATTTCAAGAAGATTTTTTTAAAGCCCACCCAAACTCAGTAAGACCTGTTGTGGAATGAGCTAAAATGCATTGTAACTAAAAATATATGAGAAGCAACAAAAGGTTTAGGTGGGTGAATTTATGAAGTGATGAAAATACATGTTGTTTAAAGCCTTGGGCTACTGGTTGTAGTATTTAGCAAGAGATATTTTATGGGAAGTATTTGAGTCTATCATGTGTCAATGGTGAACTTCATAAACTCTTGTGGAGTTGAAAACCATCTGACTTGGACATTTTTGTTAGAAAAGGAAGCTGAGGGGGGTGGAGAGATGGCTCAGCAGTTGTGGGCACTTGCTGCTCTGGAAAAGGATTAGGGTTTGGTTACCAGCATCCACACTGTGGCTCACAGTCATCTATAACTCCATTTCCAGGGGGGTCTGACACTCCTGACTCCATGAGCACCAGACACACACATGGGGCACATCCATCCAAGCAAAACATTCATATACATAAAAAATAAAATAAACAATTCTAAAATAGGGATGCTGACTGCCTTCAATTGCCATCACACAACATTGTAGTGGCTCAGCAGTTTTAGTCTTGTGTGTCTGTGTATGTAAATG